GAACCAGGGATTGAACTCAGGCCCTATTCTACTGATCTACTTATTAAAATCTTGAAAGCTGGACACGATGGAACAAGCCTATAACCTTAGCACCCCGGGAGGCTAAGGCAGGAAGAGGGCAAGTTTGAACTGAGATCACGCAATTTCCTAAGATCCTGTCTCAAAATAAAAAAATAAAAAGAATTTAGGAGTTTAGCTCAGTGCAAGGCCATGGGATCAATCCCCAGTAAGGGGGTAAAAAAGAGAAAACAAACAAAAGGAAAAAAGCTTCAAAAACTCTATTTCACTATTGTGAGAATTATTGTGAGACTGTCCTGTTTTACAGTTAGGGAGACAAAATTAGGGTGGTTAAGTAACTTCTGGAAGGTTACACAAGGCTCAGAATCGGTCGCGCACAGACACTTGGACACTTTATCATCATCATCGAGAAGTTCCTTCATGAAAGGTTGGCTGAGCAGACTGTAAGAGACTGAAAATTAGTACATCTATGAAGATATGGAACCAACAGAGTTAATTGTGAATTATCATAGTGGATGTCCTCATAAGTTTCCTAAGAGCTATGATTCTCCCAGGACTCTGGGTCAATTACTCTGAGGTCCAATAGGGAGGATGTCTGACCTTGATAGTAACAAAAGGAAAGTGAATACACAATGAAATGTTCTCATTAGCAGTCATAGATGTTTTAAAGTCAACATGTAGGGCCCGGGGAGATGGCTCAGTAGAATATCCACTTGCCTGGCAAGCTCAAGGGCCTGAGTTCAATCCCTGGTTCTGCAAAAATAAAAAAAATAAAGTCAACATTCATCCTGGAAGAGGTATAGCAGGCAGGTGCTGATACCCTGCTAATGGACAATGGACAAAAGTGTATCAAATCCCTATAGTTGATACTGAGCTTTACTAACTCCAGACTTTCCTTTTGTTAAAATATTTCTGCAGAAGATAATATTTACAGTAGTAAAAAGTTGAAAATAACCTCAGAATTGGTAAAACTAGAATAGAATACTACAAGGTCAATAAAACCATGTTTTTGGAGAATACTTAACAATATGGAAATGTGCTAAAGGTATGTCAAGTGGACCAACCTACAGCTACACGTAGAATGACAGTATGTCATAGTTTGCATTTATACAGAAAGAGAAAATGACAGGAGAGAAATCGGTGGGTGAACTTTAGAGAATAGCTTTTTTCCCAAGTAGTGAAATTGTGAATGACTTTAGGGTTGATTTTTAATGATTTTCAAATATTCTAAGTAAATATATAATGTTTTTAATAATAAGGAATGTCACCATATAACATCTTAGGGCAAAGGTCCAAACAAAATGGGATCAGAGGAATAAACACAAAAGCCTTCCAGGTGCCAGAGAGGATGTGGCTAAGCCCTAAAAACATCTGCCCACCTTCCAAAAGCTTTTCTTAGGAGTGAAGGATGCGTTGAAAAATTCACTTTAACAGCTTTGGAAAGGAAGACAGTTGCATTAGAAAGCTATTTTGACCAAGAAATAATCTGTGGCCATATGTGGCATACAAGTGGCACAAATTATGAGCTATGTATAAAACACAGAGATGCATATACCCCTCCAGTACAATACCAGTCCAAGAGTAGAAATTTAATAACCATAATTTTGACTTTTTAACAATATTTCAGTTATTGTAAGTGAAGGACAAAGAATCAATGAGCCAACAGTATTTAACTGGCTTTCTGTCTTAACCAAGAAGTTCAAAGATATCAAGGAGTTCAATTTGGAAACTTTCAAATACCAATAGTATTGTCTAGCAGAGCCAGCTTTGATAAACTAATTTTGTTTCCTGAAAAGCAACACCAGACAAGGACACTGTTGGGTACTCCAGGTGAGCTTCTCCCAGCTGCCCTCGGGACATGGTGCTCCTCCCCTTTGAGGGCCTGACCTTTGTGTCCTCCAACAGGCCACTCCCCCCCCTCCCCGAGCTGGGTTGCTCTGCAACTCGACCAAAGGAAAACAGCTTTCAGTGGTCCACACCTGGGCACACAGACCTTAGTGACTAGTAGCACAGCAGGAATCCAACGTTATCCCAGCCTTCAACTCCACTGCTCCCTGCTCACCCTAAGCCATCACCTTTGTGCTTTGCAGACTCCAGGCAGAGCTACCCAGTTTCCAGTTAGGGCCACACTCTCTCCCACCATCAGCACTTCCCCAGCTGGCTGTCTTTCACACAAGGGCCAGATTTCTAAAACAGTAAAACTGCACAGCCGACAGACAAGACTAATTTGCAGCCAGGTGGGCACCGGGTCAGACACCTACAATTCCAGCACTCTGGGAAGATGAGGCAGGAGGGTTACAAGTTCGAGCTTAAGTCATTCAGTACAGCCCTATTTTAAAATAAAAAATAAAAAGGGGTGAGGATATAGTTCAGTGTAAGGGTCTTACACTGTACTGAAGAAAAAAAAAATTGCACTGAGCCTGCTATTTTTTGGCTGAACAGAACCTTTCTTCCAGACAAACTGGGTCACGGTACTGTTTTCTGTGCAAGCTGCTTCCCCCTGCCTCTCTGTCCACTCAGGTCCTGCAGCCATGCCTCAGCCCCGCGGGGAGCCCTGGCCATCCATCCTCACCCCAGCTGACCCAGCTTGAGATCTCTGAGCTATGGAGAAACTGTGGGCTGCACATCCACAGCAGGATGCCTCCAGTTTCATCACTACTTCTTATAACACGCAAGGAAAATATCGTTCAGAGGGCTCTCACAGCAGGGCCACACACCATCACTGCGCCTGCGCACTCACGGTGCCCCTCACTTCAGGCGCGGCTGGAGCAACTTCCTAGGTACAATCAGCTATCCACACGCACAGGAGGTCAAAGGTCGTCTAAGCTTAACATACTTTAAGTTATGGCATTTACCATAATCCAACGGCCTTGACTATAGAAGAAATTCCTTTGGATACTTTCCTTACAAGGTATCTGAGAACCACTTGGATCAGTCACCCCAGGCACCAGAAGGACAGATTTCTGAGCTCCACTGCAATTTGGTACATCAGACCCTTGGGACAGAACCTGGGAGTCGGTATGTTCGTCAGCTTCCCTGAAGCCTCTCGCTGCTGAGATTTAACAGCTTCTGCTCTCCAGGCTGTCTCGTCTTCCTTACCACCTTGTTCGCAGTTTCGAGGCATCTGGGGCCAGGGGGCTTGTCTCTTGGTGGAATCCTAAAGGTACAACGCTCCCATTATTAGCTATTCACATGCAGAGACAGGCTTAGGTGGAAACAACAGCTAACGTTTCCTGGGCACCAACTCTGTGCCAGGTATCTTCTAAGCACTTTCATCCGTGAGTTCATTTAATCCTCACACAGCCCTGAGGAGCAGATGCTGAAATCTTCAGTTGGCAGGTGAAGAAACTGAGGCCAAGACGGCTGAGTAACGAACCCCTAACCGCACAGCTGCTTGATTCAAGCACTGGCAAGCCGACAGACACCTACATTGTTAGCCAGTACTCAGGCCAGCCAAAAAAAAAAATTCCCATAAATTGTTGGCTGTTGAAGGGAAGAAATTCATGACTGGATAATAATCATCAGCACCTTATGATAATATGCATTATAGAGCAAAAATAAACACGACTAGCTGATGTCTACTGCCCATCTGAGCAACCTAAATCACTCTTTGACACCTGACTTCTTTCATTCTTTATAATGCAAACCCTTTTTCTCAGCTGAGCCTCAGACTCACTGTCAGCACCCTGCTAGGGAGCAAAACATTACCTTCAGCATCCACCGACTCTGCAGACCAAGAGGCATGGGTGTTGGGGCGGGGACTCCTGCCTAACCTCTAATGCTTCCTCTCTTAGTTCATTGTTTGAGGCTGTCGTTGAGACTTAATGAATAGAAGTTTCTGTTTTCACAGTTCTTGGGGCAGGAAGGCCACGCTCAAGGTGTCAGCAGTTTTGGCTTCTCCCCAGGTGCCCTCCGGCTTGTGGCCAGCCCCTCGCACTATGTCCTCGCCTGGCCTTTCCTCCTCAGGCATCCATCTCCGCTGGGTTCCCTGCTCACACAAGGACCCTTGTCAGACTAGATGAAGACCCATTCAGATGACCTCATGTAATCTTCAAAGCTCCTTTCTCCAGACACAGTCACCCTTTGGCATCCTGGGGGTTCCAGGATCCCCCCAAGACAAACATATAGGAAGGCTCGAATCTCTTATACAGAATATATTATTTGCATATAATCTATATACACTTCCTGCATGCTTTAAATTGCCTCTAGATTACCATAACATTCTAAGTAAATGCATATTATACTGTATTGTTAAGGGCTGATAGTAAATAAAATGTGTACAAGGGCCAGCGAAAGAGCTCAGTGGACTAACTGCCTGCTTAGGCGAGCGCAAGGACCTGGGTTCAATCCCTGGTCCCACATGCTGTCCTGGCCCCACCCCGGAGGCACACTAAGCTGGACACCGAAACCAGGCATGGTGGTGCACACCTGTAATCCCAGTGCTGGGGAGGCTGCAAACAGGAGGATCACTATTAGTCCGAACTGCGTAGTGAGACCCTGTACCAAATACATAAATAAAAGTATGCATGTTCATTTTAAACAATTTTTAACATTTTCAATCCATAGTTTGTCAAGTCCATGGATGCAGGAGCTGCGGCTAGAAGAACTGACAGCAGTCACAGGAAGAGCGAGGCCTCAGCATACGAACACTAGGGGAACAGCTTCCCCAAGAGGGGCTTTGGTGACCTTGGCAAATGCTAGTGCAATCTACTCCTCCTGCTTTGTAGCCAAACAGTAAAAATGGATTCAGATTCTCTTCCTCATTTACGCAGTAAGTTTGATTCTCCAGGAGAGTCTCCTATGAGGCGCTTCTCACTTCATCAGCCTCAGCACTGCGAAGGCAATAGAGGCAGACAATGAAGTATCATCTTTCATAACCTCGCTCTTTAAGGAGCTACTTGTGATCACATCTCAGGGGCCTTGAAGGCCTTTCATGCCTCACCACCTCAGACCAGATGTAGACCTGTATGCTAGCAGAACATGGTACCACAATGGCAGACAGAAGCTTTTCAGCTTCTATGTGATTCCCAAGTCTAGCTGGAGAAATGTTTTTTAAATCTTGAAGTAGATCAGAAAAAAATGAACCCCTTTATAAAGACGGAACTGAAGTTTAATTTCTAGCCATTCGTTCATCAGCTCATTAGATCAGCAGTGGTTTAAAAATTAGATTTGGGGCTGGAGGTACAGCTAGCTCAGTGTGTGTGTGGTGGGGAGTGATCTGAATAGCTGACCCATATTCCACAAATACGAGAAAGATGTGGGCTTTGGAATCCAACACACCTGGCCTCAAAACCTGGCTCTACCCCAACCTCGCTGTGCAGCAGGCCACCCAGTCAGCCGGGCTGGCCTCTTCTCAGCCGTGCTAGGAGGGCGATGCTTGCCTTGCATGATGCCATGAAGATCAAATAAGACCTCACTAGGAAAGTGCCTGGCACAGAGCCCTGCTCGGAGCCAATGAAGAGCGATGACGACCATGAGACACACCTGCCTGGAAACCACGATCCCGTGTCTTTACTTGAGATAGCAGAGGCTGGCAAGTTTACATGGGTCATGGAAACATTTTCTGAAAATTTATTCGTCCATTAAATCCCAAAGCTTGGGAACACCCTGTCATTCTCCAACTCACCCAGAATAAAGACCCTTTATGTATGCCAGATCTGATGGCTTCAGTGAGGGATGGAAACTTTGACGTCCAGAGGCTGGGACACTATTTGGCTTTGTGGCAGATCATCTGCTGAAGTTTGGGTGACACACGTCTGTCCAGGGGACATATTATCAGGAGATTTGCTGTGGATCCCAGGACTTGGGAGTCATAGAAAAGCCTGTTTGAACTAGAAGTTGGCTATGTCCTTTCACTGTCCACAGGGACAGAAGTGTGAGGACTAAGGACTCTTAGCCAAGCAGACCGCTGTCCAATGAAGGGCAAGAGAGTCAAGCCACTTCCCTTGATGTCCCCTCCTTCCAGCAGAGACTCTGACACTTTCAGTGCAGAGCCTGCACTTTCAGTCCATTACACTCTGATTCCACCCAGCCCCATCCCGCAGGTCCTAAAGCCCGCCTTCCACGCATCCCCTGAGGAATGTCAGCTTGAAGCCACTGTGTGCGGCCCTGCCTGATGGGAGTGGCTGCTGTGGGGAAAGACTGGCTTCCATGAAGTACCCTGGTGATTTCCAAGAAGGTGACTGTCATGACCCCTTTCAAGGGTGTCCAGCTGTCCAGAAGTCCCCATCATGGACACACGCAGAGGTGTGGACAAAGCTCTATTGTGCTAACATTGCTGTTAGAGGAGACACACGCTTTGTTCCACCTCTCCTTTGCTTCACACCTAGGACCACCTCGGGGAGTAGAAACTGGAAGCTGTTGTGGCCCAAGGGACAGAGGACAGAAGCGCTATGCACACCACCCCAAGCTGACTCTCGTTTCTGTCTGCTTACTCTCATGCTCTGGGAATTTTATCACAAGTGCTGGGGGCCTGGCCCTAGCTCAGGCCTTTAAGTGGCTGCTTCCACAAAGCTGTCAGCCTCAGGTTGCTGGAGTTCGAACCTCACACCTCTCCCGCTGGCCAAAAGTGCCCTGAAGGCATTTGAGCAACAACAACAACAAAAAAATCCTTATTGCATTTTTGGTTGGGAGAGCCTTTTTACCAAGATGGCACCGAAAGCAAAGAAGGAAGCCCCTGCCCCTCCCAAAGCTGAAGCCAAAGCAAAAGCTTTGAAGGCCAAAAAGGCCGTGCTGAAAGGCATCCACAGCCACAAAAAGAAGAAGATACGAACGTCGCCCACCTTCCGTTGTCCCAAGACGCTCCGGCTCCAGAGGCAACCCAAATACCCTCGGAAGAGCGCCCCCAGGAGAAACAAGCTTGACCACTATGCCGTCATCAAGTTCCCCCTGACCACAGAGTCCGCCATGAAGAAGATTGAGGACAACAACACACTCGTGTTCATTGTGGATGTCAAAGCCAATAAGCACCAAATCAAACAGGCTGTAAAGAAGCTTTATGACATCGATGTTGCCAAGGTCAATACCCTAATCAGGCCTGATGGAGAGAAGAAGGCATATGTTCGACTGGCTCCTGATTATGATGCATTGGATGTTGCCAACAAAATTGGGATCATCTAAACTGAGTCCAGCTGGTTAATTCTAAATATATACTTTTTTCTCAGTATAAAAAAAACAAAACAAAACAAGTGCTGCTCCTACTGGTTGGCAGAACTTTCCTTTTGCTTCCTCTATCACTCATCTCCTCAGAATCAAATCAAGGCCAAGGAGCTTCCTAAAAAAAGAATTATCCAAATGGCCAATAAAATGAAAAGGTAAGTTCCTTTAATAGGAATCAGGCAAATGCAGCTTAAAATCTTAACAGGATACTGCTACATTCCCAAAATTGAAAAAGACTAAAATTTTCAAGCTTTGGTGAAGATATAGAGCAGTGGGAACTCTTACACAGTGCTCACATGAATGAAATTGGTACAGCCACTTTGGAAAGCCATTTGTAATTTGTTGAATATAATAATGATCTATGACAGCAATTTTCCTTGTACATGCATTGATGGATTAGGAGACATGTTCCAGAGTATTTAAGAGCTGCAGTATATGTAATAATCTAACCCTGGTAATAACCCACTTAATTAGCAATAATAAACTAAATGGTAGCCTAGTCACATGGCAAAATACCACACAGCTGTGAAAATGAATGAACCGTAATAGGCACCTATGTGGACGTATCTCACAAAAACAGGGTCAAGTGAAGATACAGGGTCATATGTGAAAGACACACTGTGCTATTTAATTTACTCCAAGTTTGAAAATAGGCAAAACTATCTCGTGGTGTTCAGTTCGACTGGTAGATACACTTGGCGATTGAGGAGGAGTTAGCGGTGGAGAGGTTGTAAAGGGGTCTTCTCGGCAATTGTAATATTTTAGATCTGAGAAATGGCTAGTGATGTGGTGGGTACAGAGGAGATTCATTAAGCTATATGTTGAGAAATTCCATATTTTCTTTTTTTTTGTGGAACCGGGGATTGAACTCAGATCCTTGCATTTGCCAGTCAAGTGCTTATCCTACTGAGCCAACTCCCCGGCCAAAATTCCATATTTTCATGCATTTTTCTTTTCCTGTATTTTAGTACAGGCTCTCACTACATAGATCAGACTCATAGTGATCCGCCTGTGCTGAGCCTCCCAAGAGCTGGGATTACAGGCCCGCACCACCACACCCAGTCTCAATTGCTGGCTCAGGGCGCCCCAGGGGTAAGACCAGCACAGCATACCTGGGATCAAACCCTGGCCCCTGCGCTCTG